TCTGAAATTGCCAATTAATTTAACATGTTCAAGAACTCCTACCACTTTGTCCGACATACTGAGCAGAACAATTTTGTTGTGAACACGTAATTCTGTAAACGCCAGATTTATGGGAGATTGGTACTTCATCTTTAGTATTGACTAACAATTTGGAAATAGGATTCATAGTATAAAATAAAACATTAATGTCATTACACTAACGTCTGAGATTATTTGAAATATTATATGAAACTTTACTTTGAAAAATTTAGTTCTGTGTTTGTTATAGATTCTATTAATTAGATAAGCAGGAAAACATGGGAATATTAAATATTATATGATTATTCAAAACAAAACACAAGCACTACTGAAAAATCCTTGATGTGCTCTAAGAGCGGTGCCTGTGCGAAGTCCACTTCTCTGTTCAAGAACTCTTTTATTTGGAGAATAAACTCCCTGAGAACGTTTTTCCAAATGGATTGAATCTCAGCGATTCAAAGCCAATGTGAATCGCTACTTCCGCACAGGCACCGCTCTTAGAGAGCCTCAAGGATTTCCTTGTAGTGCTTATGTTTTGTCCTTGAGAAAAATCAGGCGGAATACTCTTTAGGGGCGGACCTCCATACATGAGAACAATACTCTAAAGAAGGTCTGATCTGAGCTCTATAAAGAATCAAAAGTTGCTGAGGTGTGTACAGTTTTCTGGTCCGGAACAGTGTTCCAACCTTTTGAGAAGCAGCCTTTGCAATTTCAGCAACATGATTGTGCTACTAAGAAGGTATAAATTAAATTATAGTAGAATTATTGAGTTCCATAGAACAGACCACGAAATTTAAGAGATTCTTTTTCATTTTATCAGACGTTAAAGTCATTCAAGGCAGGTACTACCCTACGTATGTTGTTCGATATTAAAATAAATTTAAACACTTTTCAAATGATTCACTATCAATTTGAACAGAAAAATAGCGTATTGCAGACTATTAACATCACCATAAACTTCTTAAAATCAATTTCAACGTTATTTAATATTGAATATGACGATATTGCACCCCACACGTTCAAAATGGTAATTTTTCCGAAAGTGAAAAACGCATTCCTGTAAAACACGATGGATCTTCCCTAGTTATCCAAATGGAAAATGAAGGACTGATATAACGTAACATGAATTTACGAATATGAACGAAAATTCTGAAGAGATGAATACATCGATATTCATCGCATCAATGACTTCTAAAAACCTTCCTTGTAATGAATTCGTTCGCAAAGAAGAATTCCTGTGATGTGAATTTCTGTTGAGACTGGGAGTGGAGAACAGAGACGTATTCAGATCAATGTTATAGATAGATATAGAAAATGTATAATAAATTTCAAATTCATTATTATGTAGCAAATTAATGAATTAACTGTCTAAAATAAATTTATTTCCAACAATATTTCACTAATCACAAATTAATTTATTCATTACAATACTTTTCGAATTTCTTCTTTAGCCGCTCGATTCACTTTCTCAACTGCCCTCTTAGGTCGGGAAGACGAGCTTATATCGGTGAAGGTCCTTTCGAGAATTCTGTAGACGGTTCGGTACTCGTCTAGAATTTTACCGGCGGTTCCAGATTTCATTCTCTCGAGGTGAGGTCATGTGTTTGTTCGATGAGTCGGCTGACGTATCAATTCAACGGGTCAGGGACGACTTCAGATTCGTTACAATTATGAAGTTTCAAAGAAAAGACTGTCAAAAAAAGATTTTTGGGAGTTAACAAATGAAATTCTTGTAACCTTTGAACATGAGGCTTTATTTCTCTCTTTCTTCATCCTCTGGTAGTGTAAATTACCAGGTCAGATATATCAACCTGCCTAGGAACCTATGCGACTGTATTTCGAGCGGAAATTTACGCTATTGAATTGTGTGGTGAGAGATTGGAAGAATCCAACCTCATACACAAGTCAATAAAAATAATCTCGGACAGTCAAGCGGCGATGGAAGCTCTTGGCTCCTACCGAGCAACGTCTAAATTAGTAGCCAATTGCCAAAAACGACTATTCTCTGGTCTGGATTCCTGGCCATAATGGGCTGGAAAGCAATGAGGCTGCTAACTGCCTTGCAAAGGAGGGTGCTACAAGCAGCTTTATCGGACCAGAACCTGTTATTGGCATCGCTTTAGGCTTTGCCAAATAAAGATTGAACACCTGGATGGCAAGAAGATTTATGGACTTCTGGCAGAATCTTCCAGCATTGACTCACTCCAAGGCGTTCATTCACCCTTCGAAGCTTGATACCAAACAGTAGGGATGAACTACGATGTCTTATAGGCCTTCTTACAGGTCACTGTCATGTGAATCCTCATATGCAGAGACTCGGACTGTCGGAAGACAGTGTGTGTCACCTCTGTTTGGAAAATGATGAAACAGCAGAGCACATACATTGTGCCTGCCCTGCTGGGGACTGAATCAGAGTTCTAGAGTTCGGCAGAGCCGTACTCCTACCATTTGACCTGAAAGACCACTCTATAACTATACAAACTAATCAGCTTCGTTAAGAAGCTGGGTTTATTTTGTCGAGTGTGGATAGGTGTGAGCCACAATAAACCCTTGCGGATTGCGGTGGAAGGTCGAATAGACCCACTCACTTTGGACGTAACCTAACCTAACTGTAGATTACACTATATTGTTTCGAAAAAATGAAAGAATTCGAGAGCAATGATTCAATATTCTTCGTAGTTATTTAATGAAACAAATGAAGATGGTGAAAATAGGTGATGATTCATGTGAATCTCAATATATCAAATGTGTGTTTGGACTGGACATTGCTGGAAAAATAATTGAGTGAGCTGATTATACTGCAGTTTTTCAACTGGTTCCGCATATACTTCTGACTGTTGATCTGGAGTAATTTCCATATCAATAATAGATTGCAAAAGTGCGGTATATTTTTCAATTATAAAATCTACAGATACATCTATCAAGACATTCCTGAATTTAAAAAATTGTATAACTTTCTTGTTGGAACTCATCTGATAGATGATATTGCGGTTTGGAGAAACTTATTAGAAATAAATTCCAATATTCTGGAGATATCAAAAAAGTTGCATTCGCTGAATTTATCACAAAACCTACTAATTTTCTTTCACTGGCCTATCTTCATGTAAACTTTAGATTTCACTTTTGATTTATAATAATTCAAACATAAATCAAGGCTATAACCGTTACCTCGGACAATATAATAGTAAACACCTATTTCACTACCCAAACATGAATACTTCTTGTAATGAGGTCCTTATAACGATATTGTTAGCGATCGATTAGCCTCACGCTGAAAGCGTTGAAAATGTAAAATGAATAATAACTCGTTAGTCGTAAAGATGCCTATTTTTGTTACTTATTATATTGGTATTGTTCCAGTTACTCCTTTTATTTCACACTTAAGAAATTTTCATCGATTACAAGTGGCCTTGCATCAGATTTCTGGCAGAATTCAAATATTTCCATGTATACAATTACATAAACAAAAAAGCTTTCAATAGACCCGTTTTTCTCTGAGTATCAATGTTGAGTGACTGAGTTTCGCCAGTTCATCTTGCAGAGTTTACTTTTATACTTCATGAGGTAGCCATATGGCTGGTTGGTAACTATAAACTTGAATATTAACCCTTCTTGTATGTGATTTGTTCTAGAAAGTTCAGGTTAAGAATACAAGTTGTACTTCAATGCACGATTAGCGATTAGCGTATAATATTTTTTGTGCTCCAAAAACTCATTGTCGTTATCATTTGTCGTGGTCTATTTGGTATTGATAATTAATAATGAATTACTGTCAAGAACCCATTTCGAAAGCGTATCTATCTATCTCCATAGAGATCCTGCAAAAAGGATCGAAAATGAAAATATCAAAGTCAAAAATATATAAAAAACATAGAAAATCAATCGCATCTGAAACAAAACTATCAAAAACCTGGACACCGGATTTCACACAAAGTGCATTTTAACTTCCTGAGAAATATCATTCAGTGGTAAGATTGCTTAAGCTCAACTCCGCCAAGATAAAAATAAAGGCATTTATTCGCACGTTGAAACGCTACACTCTCGTTGAATCAGTATGTTGTACTTAAATGATGTGTTTTGCCACACCTGGTACACATTGAGGGATCGCATGTTGCAAAGTTAAATTCCCGTTGAACTGCAATTTTTTTCTCAAATGATGTATTTTGTCACACCTTGAATACACATTGACGTCATGTTTTTTCTTTTTCGTTAGCAGCCATGTTTTTTTCTTCAACGCTGCACATCTTGTATACCATGATGGCAGCCATGTTTTTTTCTTTATCGCTACACGCTCTGTATAGCATTTGATTGAAGTGTTTCAAAACAACGCCCTGTATACCTTATGATTTTTCGACAAGCAGCCGCTTGTCACTTTCACGTCAGCAGCCATGTTTTTTTCTTCAACGCTGCACACACCCTGTATACCCACTTACTATTGTGATCATATCATTTCAAGCGCGCTAAACTCGTTATCTTTCAAACAGCGATAACGCCACCGCCAACCCGATTTTTGAGCCATACGCATAAAAAATACTGTGAAGCCACTTCCGTCCCAAAGTACTCATAGCTGCTCTACTGACCTGGTTTATAGAACCAAATGATAATTCAAGCAAATTCATTTAAAAAACTTCAGTGTGATAGATCAGGAGTATAAAAATTGACTTGTGGTTCTGCAAAATTGGATCTGACAGATGCTTGGGGAAAAACAACTCTATTTGTAGCTAATGTCATGATGGATATTGGATTCGATCATTAGCGATGAAAATTTGAGGTACAAGAATGCTTTTTTGATTAGTTCTGTCCTGTACTGATGAGGAGCAATACCGCAAAAGCACTGAATAGTAGACAATAATTTCATCATTGTACGCCGTGGTATTAGCCGAAGAAGGAATCTGTCAAATGATTTTTTGTCGAATGTATCTCCTTTCGACTCTTTCACAGTCACCAGACTGATTCACCTCAACATGTTTACTTTGTTCCAGATTCATATCATGCGCGCTCCCTTGTTCGTCCTTTGTGCTGCCCTGGTAGTGGCCATCCGAAGCGAGGACACATCAGCCGTCAACACCAACTTTTTCAACAGACAACTGGAACCTATCAACATGGCCGCCGATCAGGAAACCATCAGCTACTTGCTGCCCAAACTTGCAGCCAAGTACCGGCCCAACAGCGACTGGGCTGGAGTGACCGATCCTCGGTTCTACTTACTGACAGAGATGGAATCCAACGACTTTGACAACCAGGTAAGCGAGACATATTGCAAGTGTTGCAAGTGTTTGTTTTTGAAGGTATGACTCAGGGACTAAAAGTTTTGTTTGCTTGGTGCTAGATTAAAAATAACTCGAGAGTCCAGCCTCTCAAACCAGACGAGTCAAAGGAGAACCAAAGGTGGCAGATGTCCTGAACGTCAACTGATGAGATTCCACCATTTTGATTGTAGATGTTGTGAAACAGAGCATGTTTCATTGTTTGGTCACTGGTCACTTTCACCAACACACTCTTTAAACTTACGGGACCCAAGCGTGTTTATTAGTGAGCAATGAATGAATAAGAACAGTTTCTGCATCCTCCCATATCTAATCGAAATCATCAATACTATCACTGATGTTATTACATTTGCTCTTCCAGACTTTCCGACTTCGGTGGTATCTGCTTCACAATAACAAATAATCGTTCACTACCACGGTGATCTCTTTGATTGCTTCTTCATGATCAAACAACGAGGAAAATATTCATAAGCCATGTTTTTCAATACAATATACAACGCAGGGCCTCTTGCTGAGAGATTTGCCATCGTATATAGCTTGATTCATATATTGAACAAGATTAGAACATTCACTTATGTGAACACCCAATTTTCTGATCTTCCGATGTTTCCACCCATTATTTCCTTGCCCCTAGAAAATTACCCTCTTTGATGAAGCCCCTTGGACCTACTTTGTTTCTCCTCTTCTAACAATGTTTTCCTTGTACTAATTTAGACAGGTTCTTTGTTGGATATTTGTAATATTCTTCTGGTTTCAGTTGTTCATTGATTGTCCATCTCTGGACCGGCATTCCAGGGAACACGATTTTCCTTTAGTGAATTAGTTTCATGTACGGTTTACATTATGCAGCCCAATGTTGTTCCAGCTTTGTTCTAGAGTTCTTTTCTCAGACGGCCCCTTTATGAAAGTTTTCCCATATACCTTTTCTTGAGTGTCACACAGTACCACAGTTTTGGTACCTGCATAGCCGGTCATTATGTGTGAAATATAACACCGTTCAACTGTCCGCCACCACGGCACTCAAGAGAATCCAACAAGAAAAAGTCTAATGGGATCAAATTACACGATCTCGTTGACCACTTGACCCTGCCCTCAAATCGCTCGAGCAGAATATCCAGTGTGAATACATCCTGTTGAAACCACATGTCGTTGGTTTCCAGATATCCAGTTCAAGCCAAAAGAAGTTGGTAATCAATGACCTATAGTGCTCGCTGTTGACAGTAATGGCCTGGCCAACGTCGTTCTCAAAGAAATATAGACCGATGACGCCACCAGTCCAAGTTCTGCTCTGCGAAAAGTCGACTGCCTGGGATTCTCCTGCATACTCTCATAGACAGTGGCGATGTTTTCAAAATATCTTGCGTTTCGTCAATCAACGGGAGTTGGTCTATCATTTACTAAACCAGTGGACTCAAATTTATCCACCACATTGCAAATAGTCTTCTCGGTAGGACGATTATGGCGACCGTAAAATGGGCGAAGCGCACGGTACGTTGCCCCAACAGAAATGATTTTATTATTTGTACGTGTTGTGATTAGGCAAAACTGACTGAATGAATAACAACTAATTTGACAGATGTAGCTTCAACAAGATGGGCGTTATCATTTGTCAGAATTCGGAAGTTTCTGTTGAAAGAAACAAAATTACTGAACTATAGGGGTACGCAGCATGCAAAATAATACTCTTAGGAGATTGATTTCGATATTTCGACACTTTTTATTGTCATCGTCAGGGAAACTACTAGAGTAAGAATATGTGTATTTACATATTGCTTAAGTTCTGATAAAACTACTTATATTGTCCACGAGGTTGTATGCAAATGGTGGAAATCAAACCAAGTTACGTCACGACGTTTCGATTGTTAGTATCCACAATCGTCTTCGGTTCGGTTCGAATATCGATGTTGATGGACGCTTGTTTTTTACTTTGAGGTCAAAATTTCAACAGTGGTATCAATCTAATCAGTTGAGGCAACTGGTTTTTGAATTGTTACTGTTAGTTTTGATTACACTGGTCAATAAAATTTTAACTGTTTTTCGTCACATGAAAACTTTGAATCTACTAGCATCACTAACCAATACTGTATCAATGAAAACAAATCGACACAACAGGTTTTTGTCTTGACATCAAAGCATATACTTTGATGAAAATTCCAAAAATCAACTATTCTTAGAGAAATTATTACTTACTGTACAATAAATATTTATGATTTTCGTGAATATTTGTCTTTTGGTAGGTCCCTCTTCAGTTTCCAACAATAATCTGCTAGCATTTCTGTGCTCCATTTCCATTCATACGCTTGTCTATTAAGTAAATGTCCTGATGGAATCTCTTCCCTTGTTCGTCACTCACAGCACCCAAATCTATAGATGAGAGTCAAACATACGTATTTTTAGGACACATCACACCCCAACGCTTTATCTGACATTATTATTTTTTCCTCTATTAAGTCTTTGTGTTTTCCGCTTAATGATTTCCTACGAAATTTTGGACAACACTCTCAAAACATTTCCAGGCGATTTTTTCCTGGTCATTTACTTCTCCTTCAGAGCTTTTATCCTTCATCGGGGTTCACTAAAGGCTTATTTTTAACATTTTTATGTCCTGGAGTAAGTGAATCACGTTTGAGCCACATTTTATTTTAATAGTGACTTTTTCTGTCTCTGCTGTCCTATTCGCAAATAAAACAGTAAAATTTTGTGTAATCGACATGTAGTCCAAGCAAATTATAAATAACTTTCAAATCGCCACAAATTTTCCAAGCGTGTTCACTGTTTTTAATTTTTTCAAGAAGAAATCTCATATTTTCGTAAGTCTCTTCCATGAGCAACCGGCATTGAAGGGAGTTCGTTTCTATTATGCAGCAACACTGCTTTCAAACTAGTTTTTGAGAAGTCAATGAACAATCGCCAGTGACTTGGATCATATTCAAAATTCAACAAATTTATCACAATATAAATATTATGACAATGGACTAAATCATTCACTATAGAAAAGTAAGCTTTTATTTCATCGTCACAATGTCGAAAATAAGAAACTTTTGAAAGTAAATTCCAGTTCTTTAATCTAGACCCAAAAATCACAACCTGTTTTTTAGACAAATTCAAATCACGTAGTATATGGTATAAACGTAAGGAGTTTCACACACGTTACACAACATTTATCTGGGATCCAGAATTTATCTTGATACTGAACAGTAAATCCAAAATATCCTTAAGAGTCAGGGTTAGTAGAACCCTTTCGTTGCATATTTGCGATGTACCTAACGAAAATAAAATATATGTTAGCTGATGCAATAGTTATACAGCCGCCTAAATGACGTATATTAGGTCAGAAATGAATATATAGCTGTCACAAAAAAACTGGATGTGATTGAATTGGTTGACGATTCGTCCGTCCGAATACAATTTAACGAAACTGGAGTAACGTTAGTTACAAATAAAAGTGGTAAAAAAACATAGAAATTTTCATTTCTCTTTTCATCATGATCTCCTACCACGTAGTAACGGCTACATCCATCAATTTATAAATAAAACACATCACAAAGTTCATGTGGCAAAAACACTGTTGACTTGTGTTATACTTCATAAAGTATGAGCTGAAAAAGAAATTCATTTCTGGGATCATTCTGTATAACAAATTGATCTATTTTCTCTGGGAAGGAAACAAATGGATTACAAACAACCATTGATTGAGTTGATTACTCCATTAACTTGAGTGAGGTTTGGTGAATCCCTTTGTGATAACACCCGCGTTTCATTCGTAAGGGCTAATGTCGTATTAGTGCAATGGAGGATTCTTGTCACCGTACTTTGTGTGGTTTTTGCAAAAAGATTCATCGGCCCTCGCAGATTCAAGGAGATTTTTTAATGATCCCAGTAAAGTCCACTTCTGCCAATTGTTATCTAGCACAACAATAACATTTATTTAAAAGTTGAAGATATTAGTTTTTTTGAGGAATAAGCTCATGAGCTTATAACTTCTCAATCATCGAATGAAAATGTGGGAAAGAGAGGATGGAAGAAAACTACAATAAAACCTCTTCATGAACATATGTACAGCATACACAGAAGTTACTTTCTTATACAAACAGGAAGAAAATTCTCTTTCGAAATAACTACTTTCATATGAACAATGAATTGTTCGTTGTGGAATTGAAACAGATATCATTCATGGGAACACTCCACAATGTTATACATGAAGGAGTATTGATGTAAAATATCACTCACATCCTCAGTGGTGTACTTCGAAATTTTGGGACAAGGTACTTGTCTCTTCACCTCTTCAGCACCATTTTGGATAACAATACAAGACGAACCAATCATTTCTTTCATAAAATTACGACTTTGTCACCGGAAGAGACAACTTGCTCTTATCATATAACAGCACATATACACATACATACTGTTAGTTAATCCAAGCCATAGGAATTCAATATGAATTGAGTAGGACATGTTTTCAGAACAGATTTTTTTTTGAGAACAAGAAATGGAACTGGCCAATACCTTCTTGGTGAAAACCCAAATCAAAACTATAGTAATACAGTTCACTGGAATATTTATACTATAGAATAACAAAATCTTAAATTGTAAGGAAAGAAAGGACATGCTGGCAATTTTCTTCGTCATAATCAGAAAACATCTCTGTGAATGTAGGGTCGTCAGGTCTGCAAATCCAGGAGGCCAGTCCTGGAATGATACTGACAAGCACATTTTTTACTGAAGTGTCTATTCCGTGAAAACTGAAATCGTTTTAATAGATTCGGAATATATTTTACAGCATGAATTGTAACAAAACTTGCGTTAGATAAGAGAAAAACTTTGCCTGAACAGGGCTACCTTCTGTTTGAATGGATGGAACGAAAATGTGATGGGTAACGATTATACTCTGAATCAATTTGCGTAGTTATATAATTATATTCAATCTTATTGGGTATTCAATAGAACCTTTCAAGGATTTCAGTCCAGGTTCATAT